TCATTATTATCTTTACAAAATAGCTCAGTGAGATAATACATCCATTCGCATGAACTTTGCTGACTTTGACTAAGTGGTTAATATTTCTCATCATTTTTAGCATATTGTGTCTTGCAAGTTTGTGATACCTATTGTGATTTGAGTATATATATTATGCAGCTCACATGCAACCCATGAGTCTTAGCCTCATTTTATTAATACCTATTATAAATATATATATATGTCTGCATATGCATGATAATATACAATCAACATTTACATATATTATTTATGTATATATATCCAAAAATTATAAACTGCTAAAGAAAGCTAAAAGATAACTACAAAAATAAAAAAAAACATCACAGAAAAACAAGCATACACATTCAAAATTGGAAAGTGATAACAAACAATAGTAAAAATAAGGATTTTAGACACAAAAATTGGTGCCCAATATAAATTTGTATGCTTCTTTTACAGATATTTAATAATTTTTATTTTTTTTGTTGGATTTTTTATTGAACTGATAAAATGATAATTACTGATTGTCAAAGACTTGAGTAGATATATTTGTTAATCATTTCTAATTGCATAATGATCACTGGACCAATATGGTGTTTGTCCACTTTTAAAAAACATAATTTGTATATCATAATCTTTTAGCTTAATTATGACCAGCTGTGGTAAAAATTCTTTATCAAACTTTCTTTCTATTTATTTTAATAATGATTGAAGTATATATATTTAATACAAAATAGGATGTGGTGACTTAGTGTAGTGGTGAAGTTGTCACACCCCAAGTGGTAGCGATTAGAGTTCAAATCCCACCAATGGCTGAAAATTCAAATTTCAGAACATGTTACGGCAGACTATGAGTATAAACGGACAGATCGACATCTGTAATCTGGTCATACTAGCCTGTACTGGGAGGCCGTAAAACAATAGTGTAATATACGAGTTACAAGAAACCCGAGTGAAGCGGCTATGTAAATCCAGAGTTAGCACACATGGGAGCCCACTTGCTAAGACACGAGTAAAGAGGTAGCACAGATCTTCAACAGTACTATATAAAGGATTATCAACCAGGAAACTGAAGAACCAAATGAGACTGAAGTGTTTGACAAGGCACTTTACTAACCAGGCCATCAGAGAGTAACTAGAGGAAAAGGACCCAACCATGGGACCAGAAGCAGGTCACAGCCCTTCCGGGCCATCTGGATTAGAAGTTTGGGGCAATGGGTGTATGGCAGATAGTCTGTATAATTGGTGCTGGGTTTGGGTGAACTCTATAAGGGTGTAGTAGGTAACGGTAGTGGGTTTAGCTTGCAAGTACTTGGTTTCAGCCTAGGCATAAGTTACCGAAGTAGACTAGGTAATATGATATAGTAGGACCAGACTGCTCTAGTAGATGATGCACTTGAAGATGAATTAGTTAACCATGCCGGTAGTCCTATAGGTAACACATGATGATCTTGGAACTTGGACTGACTTATGTATTGCATGTTCTGGGTAAGATTAGATGGATTGGCTGGGAAACTCAGATCAGAGGTTTTAATTAGATAACTCAAGTAATAGTGGGTTATAGGTATGGCATCTAATGTAGAACCTAGCAATAGGTAGATACTTAATTAGGCGCTCAAAAGGCACAGGTATAGCTAGAATGTATCCTCATCAGAATGTACTTGTCGGGGCCTTTTTGAAAAGGGCACCACATGATCCTAGAAAGTCTAATAAAAGCAAAAAGCCAAAGAGGCTAACCTTGACTATAAAAAAAAACCAAAATATTGATAATATAAACATTCATTACTATACCTTAGCCTATACAAATTATATTATTAGTTTTTATATTACCAACAGTGTTTATTTTTCACGTGTACAAAAGTGTGCGCACATGTGCAGATCTAATCAAAATTTTAAATAAAGCAGTTTGATTGGATCCGCACACATGTGTACACTTTTGCACATATGAAAAATAAACACTGATTACCAACTAACCTTTCGGACCTGACGATCTGAGTTTTAATTTTTTTCTAAAAAGAAAACTATTAGGAATTTTGTTATACAATCATTTTAATCATATTAGTTCAATTAGTAAATATAAAAATCATTTAAGGAGCTGAAAATTATTAGCTAAAAATATCACCTCTCAAGGAATTCTCATTTGACAATGTGATTTAATATGACATACCAATTTGACTTATTAAATTGCATTGTCAATTACACCTCCTGACATCCCTCCTTAGAAGGGTTATAAAAAAAAAATTTTATTATCTAATGAGTATTTTTTAGGGGCTATAATTACTTAATATTTGGCATCTCCCTTATTTTAATCACATTAATTTAACTACTAAATATAAAGTTTATTTGTTTATCTATGAAATTGAGATCTGTAAAACAGGTTTACTAGTCAAACTCATAAATACAACTTACTATTGCATAAAAATCATTTCATTCACATTAGTTTAGCCAGCAAGTTATTTATTAATTAGTGGAATTAAAATTAGCAAAACAAGTTTACAGGTCAACAAGTTTACAAGTCCAATTCATGAATACTTACAGCCATATTTAAGTCATTTCTTTTGTATTAATTTAGCTAATAAATAAAAGGGACAGTGAAGTTAAAATCAGCAAACAAGTTTACAATCTAAGTTCATAAATTTTTTTAATATTACATCTGAGTTATTTCATTCGCATTAATTTAGTCACTACACATTAACTTTTATTTTATTTTATTATTTAAAATTAAGTTCTAGATTTTATTAAAAATATATTTGCAAATCCCTTGGTATAAAAGTTTTAAGCATTGAAGTTTTATCAGTTTACTATACACAAGAATAATTTGCTTCCTCTCTGCAACATTGTGGTATTAATGTTAATTATACAATACTATTTTTTCTCATTAACAACTAACACCCTTTTGTTAACACCATGAAACTGGTTCTTTTACTGCATCTGTGGAGTCTAACTAGTAAAGTTCTTGCACTGCTACTGCAGCCTTGGAACCTAATTTCTATAAAAAAAAAAGCAATTGTAGAGTCTGATTTTATTTACCAATTCACTTTGCCTAACAAACCAACTACCAATCATTAAGATTATTGCCAGGTTACTGCAAAATAGACAGGGTGGAGGGCCTTCTTGTAAGGTGAATGATGGCAAAGAGAAGATAAACTTCTACCAAAAAATCACCCTTGAATATACTGCATTTACAAAAATGTTCTTTTCCTTCTGTTTTACTAATTTCATTCTTGAACCAATATGATACACTTCTCTACTATTACACATGTACTACTAATTAATTAACACTTATTGTTATATCATTCGTCATTTAACAATCATATGCGATCATAATCCTAACCAAGAAAAACCTGCATCTAATGAGTAGTTATCACAAAAAACTGTCTATAAAAGGCTAAAATGACAAATTAGTATATAGTCATGCATGAGAAAATTGATATCCAAAATCAGGCACAAAAAAATTGTGACCTGTACAAACATATTAACACTTACTATAATAAGAAAAATGAGACCCATAAATTATACTAAAAAAGAGTTTTTCAAAAATGAGTATAGTGAACATCAAAAAAGTTGAATGAAACTATCCTTTTACATTTCATATAATTGTACTGGTATAAAAAAAACCTATAAATAAAACCTCAAAGCTCATTATTACAACTTGATATTAAACCAATTTAATATTAATCCTTTTAAATAATCTAATTTAACATTAAAACTCAGCTTCATCTGTTATATAATGCAGAACAAATACACAATCAACATTAATTTAAACCTTCATTTTAACTAATCAATAATTACCAATTAACTATATATAACGAAAACAACATTACATACATTTAAAATTAACAAACTATATCCTTATCTTTTAAATCATATATTAAATTCTTAATAGATAACAAACGGTTCCCGTGCCAGAGGCACAGGCCAAACGCTAGTGTATTTATAACAAAAAATCAAAATAATAGTAAAAAAAAATTCTAAACTAAACTAAAAGCTAGATAAAATAGTTTATAAATAGTCTTAAAGTATTGTTAAATGTTCTATAAAACTACTATTGTGTTGTCTCAGTTATATGTTTCTGTTTGAGATATATTTTACTTAAAGTAACTGACTGCATTTTATTGTTTACTAAGTAAACATATGGGCTAGGTGCTAAGAAAAGGGTCCAAATTGACAAAAACAAAGATCAATTTTTAAGTTATAAATCTTATAATAAATTATAAGAAAAATAAACTTTAAAGAGCTATACTGCAAAATTTTATTAATACAACTACTTAAGTGCTTTAAGCGAAAAGTGACCCTAACCTTATTCTAAATTGATTTATGTAAAAAAAAGTCTTTTGAAAAAAATTGTCAATTTTGGTCCCTTTTCTCAGCACTTAGCCCATATGATAAACACCCATATAGGAGGGTAAACAATACTGACTGTTTTGGAAAAGTATGTAATCAAGATTATAATAAAGTCATGTGATATTTATTTATATTATAATAATAATTACTCAATAAGTTATTTATGTAAACTACAGTATTTTTACAATAAAATATGTACTGGCCTTAATTTAGAATACATTTTATATAAAAATTACAATAATTCTAATACAAACTAGCTCAACTTTAGCTACGAACTATTGTCACTGGAATAGCAAGTAAGTTTTACTGTAGCTCATGGCAGAAGTCACGATGATCCCAATGCAAACTAACTTAACCTTACAGTAACAAACGATTTTTTTTTAAAAATTCCCGTGATAGAGGCACGGACAAAAAAATTAATGTACAGTTTAAATCCGCGAGGCCAAAATAAAAAAAATGTAAAGCTGTGCTTAAAAAAGTCCAATATACATATGTTATGAATAGTCAATTTGGGTATAACCGTTAATCTGATTTTTAAAATCAGCATATAATCATGTACTAGTTAACAAATTAATTGGAACATCAATATTGAAAGATTATAAATTCGGATCAAAAAGCTCACAGAAAATGCATGAATTAGATTGTAGTTTAATTAGTTAATAGCTGATGGCAATTTTAGAGAAAATTTTAGGTAAGTCTTCAAGCGCTTCCTTAAATCGTTGCTTTGCCAATTGTGGCTTATTTAGGGTATAATATGTACCAGCAGAGATAAGTTTATATGCCGTACCAATAACAGGCACAAACTCAACGACATCCTTCACTTTTGACTCGAAGTCTTTCGAACCATGAATATCTAATTGGACGCATTCGTATCTTAGGGACAATAATTTATGTGTTAGAAGAGCTGCATTCTTTTTCCTCTTTTTTTGCTGAATATCAGCGTCATAATCATTGTTAAATGGAAAATCAACTGCAATGATTTCATGATTTCCAAAATATTTCCTTAGTCTCCTCATTTTCGCTGATCCATTTCGAATCGCTATGAGTGATTATGATAACAAAATTTCTTTCTCCTCCTTTAAATATTTTTTGAAATTCCTTAAATCCATATTCATCTACTTCAGTGAATCTCCCTTTCTTTACAACGTAGCATATATAGTTGAACGATGATTTCGACTTTGAGTTTGAGAAAAAACATCTAATCTTTTTGATAGCATCTTTATTTGAAACTTTGCCTTTGGATGTTACACACAGTCCGATCGTATCGTATATTGCAAAAACGTCGGTGTTACTGAACACTATTTCGGAATTTCCACCTGCTGCACTATCACTCATTGGGAATAAATTTTTCGAACAAAGATCCTCTTGAATCAACATATTTGCAAGAGTAGATTTTCCCGCTCCGGGGCTCCCGAAAAAAACTACAGATACAGGTAGATCGATATAATTCCTTTGATCCATATTAATAATGCTAAATAGTCAATTTAGGCTAAGTTAATTTTTTGGTTCTCATGATCCAGCCGGGTCAAATTTTGATAAACATTAAAAAATTTTTAAGTGTATTTAATATCCAAGTGGTTTTATTTTTTAATCAAAGAAAAAAATTTTAATATAAATAATTTTTTAAAAATAAAATCAAGAGTAGGATGGCGGGTCACTTTATTTAAAGCTTTTATGTTATGAGATTCAAAAAATTAACTTGATATAGCCTTATAAAAATATGTAGAACGTTATGTTTCACGATACAATAAATTTAGTTTGTTTATTTTCTTGTGATAAAAAAAGGCTAAATTAAAATATTTTTGTTTACTATTTTTGAAATTAGTACGTACTAGTACGTACGTACGTACATACTTACATACGGTGCAAGAAATCTAAAAGCCTCAATCACTTTATATATAACAAACGACCAGCACAGCAACTTCCAGTCGTATGATAGATCAGTTCCACTTAAGTGTATATTATTCTTGGCGTATTTTCTATGCCCATCACTCTATTGTGATTGATAATTTAAGAAATTTATTTCAATGAGCTACTAATTTATGAATTACCTTAGCGGAGATTGAGGTTTTTATTTTCCTGCACCGTACATACGTTAATATTTTAATCCTGATCAAAAAACTTGTATCTGTGCTATTTTGAGCAAAAATGCTTTTAAGTTGCTATAATAGGCATTTGTATCTAATTAAGAGAAAGATACATGATTTTGAAGCTTCATCCTTATCCTGTTATCATGAGAAATCGTCAATCGGAACCCGGACAATTACGAGGTACAAATAATGCGCATATCGCTTTGTAATTATTGTGCAAGTAATACAAACCTTTAAAAAGAACAAATAACATGCGTAAGTACACGTATAAATATTTGATTACCCATCAGGATGTTCTATAGAAAAGGTGGGCAATATAAGAAATAAGCTTCGCTAATGATTAGTAATCATTAATTTTTTAATAGCGGAGTTGCGGAGTTTG